GTTGGCTGGCCACGAACTCACAAAGATCCGCCTGCCTCTGACTCCCGAGTGCTGGGATTAAAGGCGTGTGCCACCAATGCCTGGCTTGAGACAGTGTTTCTTACAGAACCTGGAACTTAGTGTTCAACTGAACTAGCTGGCCATCAAGCCCTAAGGATCTGCCTGTCTCCACTTCCCCCAGCACTGAGGTTACAGATGTGCACTGCCACCCTGGCTTTTCCAAATTTAGATCCTCATGTTTGTGCAGCCCTTTGTAGAATATTCTGTTACTTCACTGCTTCTTGGTGAAGCACAGGTTCGAGAACACAGGAGGTGTTGGCTGAAGTTCAATGATTTATCATGGCTTCTAGCCATGTTTTAATTTGTCATTTAATTTTTTTTATTTTTAAATTGAATTGTTGTTTTGGTGCATACATGTTGTGCAGGTACACGTCTCTGTGAACGCGTGCATGGAGGCCAGGGATGACCTTGGGTATCATTCCTCAGATGCCACCACATTTTCTGGTTTAAAATAAGCAGAGTAGGCTGGGGTAAGCCATGTAGTATTGTGATGTGCTCACCAAGTGAAACATTGTGGCTCAGAAAGAACCACAAAATAAATAGTCTTTGTGAAGTTATATTACCCCAGGAGCCTAGACACAGTCAGTAACATTCTTGCCTTTATAAAGCAATATTCCACTGACTTCATTTTTCCAATATTATATTTGTTTCTACTTAAAACAAAGGGCAGAGATGTCTTGTAAATGTTTATCTTCAAGTTGATGGTATCTAAAAGTAAACCTGAGGTCCAGGACCCTTCTCAAGCTCCATGACTACTTCACAGTGCAAAGCATTTATGTATTTTAGGAAAAAATGTCTTTGGCTGAGCACAAAAATGAATGCTGTGTTTATACTCAATGTAATAAACAATCTGCACAGACTCGTTAACCTAAGTGCAAGAAACTGCCGGATCCTTCATGTCGGCCAGAGATTGTCTGCTCCATGAAACGTCATTGCGGTTGCAATGAAAAGAAAGTTCCCTAAGTGGTAACTACTCAGCATTGAAGTTTATACCATAGACTAGTGCTGCCCTCAGCCTGGGTCAGAGAAGCTTCATTTCACAGTGAGCAGTGGTTAATGTGGAAACTCATGGTTGGTCAAGGGGCTGAGAATGACTATTGAGTGCATAGCGCTGAGTACAACATCTATATCATCTCCTCCAAGGCTCATGGACCTCTGGGAAAGTCCATGAAAGGACAGCATAAAAGTGTAAAAGCCAGTGATGGAGAGGAAGCTTGTGAAATGACATCTTCTGGAAATGGCATGGCTGCTGTACTCAGGGTCATAGAGCAGCTTCAGGTGCCTTCACAGGGCCTGCACAAGGCTTAGGCATGTCACATTAGATCATGCATGGGGGATTGCCGCTGGGGAAGTGAGACACACTGTCTTTAGTGCTGTAACTACTGGTAAGTTGTCCATGCTTCTATGGGTAGCTCCACATAACCTCAACGGGTCAGAAAACAAACAAAAGCATGAAAGTGGGAGGGAGGGTACTTGTTGGGAAGAGTGAGATGGGAGGGAGGTAAGAGAAGGTGGATGTGAATACAATCAGAATATGTCACTCACATGTATGAAATTGTCAAATAATACATTTCTTTACATGAAGAAGTATTTAAGCTAGTGGCCTGCAGTAACTCGATAGACTTTATTAACACAGTAAAGCAGCTTCAGTCCCGGTGCAGTGACCATGGGCTTCTGTGGGGCATCCCGGAAGACCAGACCTGCACTGCACTACCACAGACTCCCATGAGGACTTGCCTTATAAACAAATGGGTTTTTCCGTGAATCAGTCAGTGTGTCAAATCTGGTGTAGAGGTCATTGAGTAGATTGACAATCTTCATGGCCCCTTCTCCAGATGCATGCTTGCTACAGAAAGCATTAAAACCCACAATGCCACTGAAGAGGATGGTCACATTGTCGTATCTTTTGGCAGGCACTGGACGTTTGTGTCTCAGCTCATTGGCAACAGATGGAGGGAGGACAGAATACAGCAATCTATGGAGATTAAGAGAAAGCACTGTAAGACATGTTGAGGAGCCTTTACCTCTCTAGCTTGCCTCTGTATTGCATCAAGCCATTGTGCTGGATTCTGATAAGATATCCTTTAAAACCAATGTCAGACATTAGCTATGTACAAACCAGAAACAGCAACTATTTGTCTCTTGTGATCACATATATCCCTAATACTAAACCAATTCAAACCAACTCAAAATAAACCAAGTAAATAAATAGATAAGGAAACAAAAGATTATCAATAAGACCTCACAGTTTTAATTTGTAGTTTTGGCTTCTTGCCCTGTTCTTATGACAGTGACAGGCTTGACATTATCAGTATGGGCATCTATAATACTGCACAAATAGCCCAGTAACAGAAACATGTTCATTTTACAGGAATAAAATTTATCTCAAATTTTGCAGTGTCACAGCAGATAAAGTAGAACTGCTTCCTAGTCTTAGTTATACTTCATTCTTTCCTGGAAGAAACTGATAAAAGAGAAGATAATTGGTCCAGATAGGCAGACATTTTATTTCTGTAGGCTGAGACCTCTACCATAGCATTGGGAATGAGCTAAGGAAAAGAGTGTGGTCAACACACAGTAGGAGTGGAGCTGGTAGATTAGAAGAAAAGCAAAAACCCTTGGGCTCCCAGTCTGAAGAAACAAGAAGAAACAAGGTCTTCCTATCTTTTTCATCCTTTTAGCCAGTGGGCAAAGTTCAAATATGAAATACGGACCTGAGCTCTCTATTTTCTCTCTAGCCATAGTGGAATTTCTTCAGTGATTAATTTTAGCTCCTAAACAGAAAGTATTTCATGCAACATTGAAATTAGATCTCAGTATTGAACTGAGCAGTAGAAGAGCTTAGCTTTAAAGAAAACCAGATGGTTTATAATGAAATTGTCTTAAAAATAAAGTCTCCATTATAAAATAAAATCCCAATCTATTAACCTAAAAACCAATCATGAAAATTAATGAAGCATACTATCCCTGAATAGGGCAAATGGTTTTTGAAAATCCACTCAACCTTGGACAAAACAAAACAAAGAAAATAGTGTGGATGGTTTTTGAAAATTCATTCAACCATGGGCAAACTAATACAAAGAATGAGTCCTGTGATGCATCCTTTTGCTTTGGTTCAGAGGTCAAACTCTAGCAACTGTAGCATCAGTGTCAAAGACTGTGTGGTAGACCAGTGAGAAAAGTGAACACTAAAGCCAACAATTTAGTGGCAATGTGAATGAACAGCATTTTCAGTATGGAATGTAGAATATATGGATATTTCCATAATTTAAAGGTTGGATCTTTGTAGCGCTAGATGTCTGTTTACTACTGGTTTAGTTTGGACCTGAGATAACCCCCAAAAGCCCATGTTTTGAAGTCCCTAGGCTGTAGTGCTATTGCAGACTGATGTAACCTTTAAGAGGAAAGGCCCAGTGGGAGGAAGTTGGGTCACTTGGGCACACTTTTGACTGTCATATGGATCTCATCCTTCCCATTAGCATCCTAGCCATTGTGACATGAGCAGCCTTCTCTGTTATGCATCCCTGCTATGGTGTTTGATCCCATTGTGGCCTAAAGCTACAGGACCAGCAGCAGAGGCTGAAACCTCCAAAGTCACAAACTCAAACTTTCCTCATTTCTTCATGAGTTTATTACCTCAGCAGTTCTAATAGCAACAGGAAACTGAGTAACATAACTATAAGTGTGGATATCAACATACATGGAACCACAATATAAAAAAATGAGATCTACATCATTTTCTGATATCACAGACAATGCAGAATATAGGATAACTGGAACTCACCAACCCATAGGACATTTGTGCATCATATAAAATATGTGATATTTTCCATGAATGAAGTTGTGCCATGTACTGATAAGCAGTGGAAGACATTGAGATGCCTATCCCCATGTGCTTGATGAAATTTACAGAACATGTAGCAAATTAAAGTAGGTGCCCTTACAACCATGGGGGAAGTGAAGTGGTCTCAAAGCAGGTAGACTCAGCTTTCAGATAATTAATGTAAAGGTAAAACCATGTGACTGAATGAAGCTGCTGTGGATAAAGACAGGCATTTACAATGAATTCTCTATTTCACTCATGGTATTAATAATGCTAACTGTTGTGTTTATTTGTGTGCCCAGAATCTGCAGGCAGGCAACTTACACACATGTCAATGCCAAAGAAGCAGAGGGTATGGTATAGCTGTCAATCTTCTGATGCCATGGTGAAATGGCATCTGATGGGAGTGAAATGGTTCTGATGGGAAACAAGCCAATTAGGTTCAATTCTCCAAAAACACAACATCCTAATTCACAAACGAAAATGAAAAAATGCATCCAAGAATCTGGGGAAAAAACACCTTGTGGGCATCAGGGAAGTGGGGCTTTTAGTTACTATGTGGAGACGGGGCCAAACAATGCACAGGGACACAAGAGGTCCCAAACCCTTCTAGTTAAAGGATGAACCCTAGCATTACACAAGTGGTGGTAAATTGTGATGAAAAGCCAGCCCTTTCTTTACTCCATACTTACGTGTCTGTCTTTTTCTTCTCATCCTCCAGGGCTCTCAGTGTGAGCTGCAGCCTATCCGTGAGGATTTCCAGCTCTTGTGTCAGTTTGTACTCCTCCCGGAACTGTTCTCCCAAAAGAACCAGGTCTCGAGTGGCATCATGAAGAGGGATGTCACTCAAGTACAGGCCTCTTCTTGTCAGGTCATCCAGGTTCATCACACTGCCACAAAGCAATGAAGCAAAATCAACACCACTGGCCCACAAGGTGGGATAAGCCCTCCCTACAGCAAGAGAAATATGGCAGCTTTCTCCTTCTCCACCTTCACTCTTCAAAAAATCAGGCTGAAGAAACACAAGGGGGAGCCTGCCCAAAGAAGGCTTTGTTTCCTGTGTATCTAAAACCCCACTAGCAACCTGCAAACTTGAAGTAGGTGTTTCTCAAGTGGTACTTTTTGGAGGTATCTGCATCTGCATTCATGGAATGATAATACAGAAAACTGCCCCACCTAAATCTCCTCCTGCATGTAATACAATGCTAGTACATTTTACACAATCATCTTGTTTTTCCTTATCCCAGAACAATCTATCATCATGCATGAGTCAGGAATAATCATGTTTCTATTGAAAAACCATCTCATTTGCCTTATGATTCTAAGAATCTTATCACTAATTGCTTTGCTATTAGAAACAATGATGGGGTTTCCAAAGTTTAGTAGCCCTCCTCAGTGTGCATTTTAAAGACTCCCTGCCTTGTGCTTTTATGCCATTCTTTCTTCAGGCTTTCTTCTCTTCCTCTATTCTTATTTTTGGTTAATTTTCTCATTTTTAAAATGTGTTAGACCTTGCTGAAATCTATGAATCTTTGTAACTTAAATCTTACCTTTTTATAGCACTATTATAATGATTGTGACTGGTTCACTGAAATTCTGGTAAATAAAAAAGTTTGGTTAAAAATTACTCATTACCTAAGTATCTAAAGATATATTTTTGGTTTGAATTAATTCTTAAAGTATAAAGTTATCATTTCTGGATACATGGAATAGCAATTTCTCTAAAATAACAAATCTGGGTTGTGACTTTACTAAGCAATTTTAGATTAAGAAGAGGTTCTCATGAAAGCGTTCTCAACAAAAATATCTATAAGTCAAAGCAAGGTAAGCATTCCCCTATGCAAACACAGACTAACCTAGGATATTAATGACAAATTACACAGCTGCTTTGTATATTTTAAAGTCTTCTTTCAAAAACAAACCCATTTAAAAAGATGACAGATAACTTGCCCAATGATCCAAATGTGATCAAATAAGATCTACCAATGAGGAAAAACAAAATAAGATCACCTTAAAAATTGAAATAGATACCCTAATGCCAGATGTAATATGCCCTCTTAGTCAGGGAGGACACAAAGCCTCTTTAGACAACACATACTCTTGTTACTCTTCTTAGCTGCATACAGCTAGCTGCTAAAGCCCTGTCACTGATGATAAACCATACACCTTGGCTGCAAGGTGTGGAGAAATCAAGCTGGAATGGAGCTGGAAGCTTTCTTCCTGCTAGGTAGGTAGATTTCATAGTTCCAGAAGCTGTTGCAATTCTGTTAGGGGGAAAGAAGCCATTAATGGTCTTATCTAGCTGAACTGTATGATCTACAGGACCAATCTGCAAGACAAGGTTTGCCCACCCATGAAATAGTTGCACAACTATAATATGAAGAAACAACTGATCTCTGATTGGATTTGAAGCCCACTCTACAGGAGTAGCACTTTATACCTGCTTATGGCTGAGGTAGTATTAAGCCCTAGGGAAGAATGTAACACTATTGTTTGTTTAACTAAATTGTCATGAAGTCGAGCTGATTTCTAAATAAAACATGTATATCTGTATGTATAGACAGAAGACATTCATGGCTTTAATCAGAGACTTTCTCTGTAATGGTGGTTACTGCAGAGACACAAAGCTGTTCTAAGTGCTAAGGAGTGATAGTTGAATGTTCAGCCCTAGTGACAACATTTATACCATCCCTGTTAAGGCTCAGGAAACATCCTGGATGAGGGCAGGAAGAATGTAAGATCTGGAAGAATGTGACAGCTGGTGAAGTGTTGTGAAATGCTGTGTTCTCAGCATGGCACAACCAATGCAGCCATGACCAAACAGCAGCTGAACCTCCAGTCATGGCCTGGAGAATGTAGGAGCCTTACCTGCCCCTAATGAACTACCCCTGCTACTGTTAGATTCTGTGTGAGAGAGAGCCATTGTTTCCACTTGTGTACTTACTGAGGAGCCTACCAGGCCCCAGTGAATAGTAATAATAGTGAATAGTTCACAATGACCTTCATTAAATTCAGTGAGTTTCAAAAGAACCCAAAACAAAACAAGCAATAACAACAAAATCATACAGGTAGGAATGGAACTTGAAAGGAGGATGGGGAGGGATTAGATGTGGAAAGGACATTCAAAGGAGAATTTTAATAATGAGAATAAAATGAATACTAGCTGAAAGATTATTCATACCGAAGTAGAAATCTTACTGAAATTATAAACATCTTATTCTTCTGGAAGTTCCTTATGGACCCCCTGATGTGTGTGTTGTTAAAATGTTTGCCTGGCATGCAAGAAAGTCTTGTATTCACTCCTCTGAAGACAGAAGTTTCTATCTGGTCTGATCCCTCAGCCATTCAGTCCCAAATAAACACACAGAGGCTTATACTAATTGTAACTGTTTGGCTGATGGCTCAGGGTCTTATTGCCTAGCTCTCTCTTAATTATTAACCCATTTCTATTAAACTGTATATCTCTACATGGTCTTGGTTTACTGGAGAATGCTTGGGCATCCTACCTCCCTGGTGGCTACGTGACATCTCCCTTTTCTCTGCCTACTACCTTTCTCTATCCCTGTTTGGATTTCCAGCCTGGCTAAATACTGCCTATCTGTTGGCTGAAACAGCTTTATTCATATACATGATATATGAATATATATAATAGGATATATAATAGAAACATATATTCACAGCATACAGAAGGACATCTGCCATCACTCCTCAGCATCATACAAAAGGGTACTGTGGTATTGTACACTTGTTATTGTCAGTCTTCAGGAAGTGGGATGAGAGGCTCCAATGTTCATTATTATGCAAGTCTATATATCTAGTTTGAGGCTAGCCTGGGCTTCATGACATCCTGTCTCAAAAATGAAATCCTTATTACTTTTTCTTATTTTGAATTAATCATCCTAGAATTATTTATAGGATTATAAATTATTCAGTTTAAACAGGTTTCATGGTAATTGGTCAATGTATGACTATAGGACTGATTTTTGTATATGAAAATTAAAGTATACACCATGCAATTTGTGATCCTCCCTCCAAATAAACCCTTCTGCCCTTGAGAAGAGAAACTCTCCTCTAAAGTGAAGCTGTCATTCTACTTGTCATTCTCCTGACACCCAATCAGGAAAATGCAGAACAAAGAGTACTGATGACAGGTGAGATGTTAGTTGGTCCCTGGATGGTGATAGCTTCAAAGATAATTTATATTTCACAGGTTGGTCTCTTTTGTCTACATGATAAATAACTCTCAGAAAAATAAACCATAATTACTGTTATATAATATAATATGCAAAATAACATCTAATAATTATCCCCACAATTATCTTTTCCTATTGTTCTATCAATGTACATTCCAAATTCCCCTTTATCTTTTAGTAAAGTGCTAAAACTAGGAAAATGCCAACCCATGCTTTGTTTCTTCTAATACTTACTATGAATAACACATTTAGCATAAATTTTAGTTTAATAATCCACTTTGAACACTACAACAAAATTAAAATAGCTACATATTTTTAATTAAAAGTGGCTCAGACCAAAAAATATTAGTCTTTTTTTATAATTGTTGTTAACTATTCAAGTTCTTTATTTATGTCATCATATCCTATTCTTTCCAGAATTGGTCTCTTGCAAGATACTCTTTGAAATCACAGAAATATAGAACTAACTAACAGCAGATTGCTTATCCCATGATCTAACATCATAAGAATTTCATAGACAGATCATATTCTAACATACAGAAGGTGGGACTTTGAGTTTTCAGAAATGCCCAATGCAATCACCCTTATTATAAAAAATTACATAATGAGGATTTAAAATTCCAATTTATATTTCAGCAAAAATAAATATTGTGGACTAAAATGCTGTTGGATTAAGAGAAGTTGTATTTGATCCATGAAGTATACATGTATGCACTGAAATATCATGGCAAATTTTATGTACAACTAATACATACTGATCAAAGATTTTTAATGAAATTTCACTGAAGCTAAAAGTTGTTACCTTGGTGAACAGAGAAATAGAATACTATCTGCTTCCGGTAAGTAGATCATCTGACCCTTGAGACGTAAGCAGCTAATCTCTGTCCCAGTCAGTTCATCCTCACATTCAAGTTTCTCAACATCCAGCAATCCTTCCTTGAACAGGGAAGACAAAACATTAACTTCTTCTTCCTCCAAACACCCACCCTGCCTGATAAGGCATCGGGAAGGAGTATCCTTCTCACCAACCCTAAGGGAGAGGAAGCTGGCCCATCAGAACTAGAGAGGTGTTGCCCTGGGTAAGATGGTCAGCATTCAATACTTGATGGCCTTCTGTGCATACAGGATGGCCACAGCTGAGCTGCAGCTCTTGCATCCTTGTAAGCTCCTGTGATTTTCCAGTATGGCCACAACAAACATTTCTGAACCGTACTGAAGTTAAGTCAAGCTAACCCTGTATTCACAGAACAACTGAATGCAGCCAATTCCCAGCGTATAAAACACATGTGCCTGTGTCTTCTGAAAGTCATGTGGGGGCTATGGAAATGGTGTTTGCTACAATTATGCTAGGCACACAAATGAGGAGATCTGGAAACCATCTAAACTACCAACTATGTGAGTTTACAGATTTTTTAATCCTTTTACTTCCCAACAGGGGAAAAATGTTAGCAAGAATTATAAACAATTTACAGAAGAATAAATCACTGGCTTTGGTGACTTTATCAAAGACTTCTTGTTAGGTCTTCTGATTTCTTTAAAAAAGTGATTGTAAATTCAAGGAAGCAGATGCTGCTTTTATTACATGAGATTGAGGAGACTTAGATGTTCCCAGCAAAGACACTTTCTCAAACTTTTTTCCCCACTCATTCTGATCAGCTAACAGAGGTCCATGCTCCTCAGCCAAACGTTGTTCTCTTGAGGGTTGTATTTTATTTTCTTATATCTTCACTGCATAGACTATGCTCGTAGATGACTCCTCCTCTCTACTACTTGCTAATTGGTAACATATATTGCTTACATTCAGTTGAAGGGGTGTCTGATTACCTTGCTTCTCAGTACAAAGACTGTATTGATGTGTGAAAGAATCCCATGGAAACTTATATCAATATGAGGGCGGACCAGAGAGAAGACAGACAGAAGGCTGCAGTTCCCAGGCTGGAGCTAAGAGGGGGGAAAAAATAGCAACTTGAAACTGACTTTATGATTAGATATTAATCTTGAAATTAAGCCAGATTAATTGCATTTATAAGTGAAAAAAACTTAAGTATTGAGTGGGAAATTTACCCTGTATATGAAACCGAGTGGTTAAGCAAACATCATGTACTTGCAGAGACAGGAAACCTAATATGAATTTAACTATCTAATATTCAAATATAAGCTGATGTAAATGAAATAATCATCTTAGGAGAACAAAAAAAGGAAAGTTATCTTCTAAACTGTAGCATCATTTAGATGCCTGTGGCTGAAAATGAAGCTAAATGTAAAAACACCAGTAAATAATTGCTTTAAAAGATATATAATATTAATAAAAGAAATAACACAGCAGCTGCTTGACACAGAGCAGATAACTGGGCTAAAGGAACCTCATGTCATTTCAGAACAGAAGGAAACAGACAGAATAACACCCTGAGGGAAAGCCCACGCAAAACACTCTTCTGCTCCCAGACCTACAGCTTTTCACAAGACCTCTGTATTCCAGTCCTGAATTAAGGCAAAAGGTATTTTCAGGCACACATATGCTGTGGGCAAATGCTAACATGGAATATGAGAGAAAGAGGAAATACGTTGCTAACCCTCTGTGGGACTCCAATGATCTGTCACTCTACCGGTGGTAAACTCGATGCTTTTCAGCCTGAGTGTTTGTAAATTTCCTTCTCCCCCTTGTCAACAGCTGATTCTGAAAACTATTTTTGGAAGGCAGATAGGCAGCAAATATTTATTCAATAAACAAACACATGAGTGAAATCTGACTGCTGTTACGAAGTCCCCCATTTTCTCACAAAGCAAGTCTGCTATTCTCATATAACTCCCTCCTCTCTCTGTAAGTGATTAAAGAAGAAACAAGTCCTGTGGAAGCACATTTAGGTTATAAGTGCATGGGATATTTTCTGAATCATTGTCAAATGTTAAAAAGTAATGAAACTTGTAAGAGGGTCAGGTCCCCGGGGTAGTGATGTGCTTGTTACCTGCGGGAGCACTCTGTAGATGGCATTGCCACACTGAGTGACCACTAGATCCCGGTCAAATATTATGTGGAAAGGAAAGGCTTTGCAGAAGGTATATGGGCTGATGCGTGATTCCTGGGTACCATTTTCTTCAAATCTGTCCAGATCTTCATAGAAGTCCTCTTCTTTTGATTCTTTTTCTTCAATTAAAAATTGAGTGTGATCACATTCTTCATTTCTTTGCTGTATAACCTGGGTGCCAATGGAAGAAATTGTGGTTAACTGTTGCTATTTTAGTTTAGTTATGAATATAATTGACTGTTAATGAACAACACATTTTGGAAAATTAGAAAAATTAAAATACATGCAAATGCTATACACATGTAAAGCTGAAAAGTCTGTCTAGAAATTTTCAGACTTGTGCAATGTGAGGGCAGTATCCCTTTGGGACACTGTCTTCTGTATTTTAGACAAGCTTCCAGTAGGAAAGTTTCTAGTCATCTAGGTAGCTGAGAATAACCCAATTTCAGATCCTCCTGCCTCCAACCCCTATGTACTGAGATCTAGGGTTTGTGCCACTATGGTCACTTTACTCTATACTAGGGAATTTAATCCAGGACTTTGTGCGTGGTATGCAAGCATTCTTCCAGCTGAACTATCTCCCATAATTATTAACACATAAGTTTTCATTATAATCTGGTATGATTTGGGTGGCCTAGGAAGAGAGTATCACCTTGGTCTCGTACCTGGGCCTCCCAAACCGGCACATTTTTACAGCAAATCTGTGGTTACACTGCCCTTGAGGCAGAACATGAGAAGCACACAGAAAGCCAATGAATCAGAGAAACCACACAGGTCAGAGAAAGAGAAAAAAATGGTAATTGTCTTCATTGCACAGTTTCTCTATTGGTGCCTTGAAATTACCACTCAAAAATAACAACGGGTGTCATCCACAGTATCAGGAAAGACAAGAGCTGGCTTGGCTGTGTTCACCAGCACAACTTGATTTTACAAAAGGAAACAAAAAGACACAAACTTTTAGCTGAAAAAATAAAATGTTCTAGGTACATTTCAGTAAAAACAAAAGAATTCACATATCAAAGGGGATCTACAAAATTTGCTAATTTAATATGTTCTTTCCATTTCATTATCCACAATCTGACACGTTGCAAGCTGAGACTCAGTAAGTCAGCCCCCCTCCCCTTCCCAGCTGGCATGTATTCACAGAAAGTAACTGAATTTCCTCTTGCCTTAAGCAATGTATAATTAGAAAGAAAATCTGTTGCAAGGGGAAAATTGCCCAGTATAATGCATTCCTAGGACTCGTAGGGTTCACACCATGTCCGCTTACAGGGCCCTGCTAGTGCAGCCCATGAATAGCAATCATTGTAACATCATTTCAAATGTTCTGGTGCCCTCAGTGTTCAGAAACCTTCTCGCTGGTGGACATTACCTTCATGTCTATCTCGGTGCCATGTATCTGTTGAGCAACAGTCTTGATGATCCCGATAACAATGTCCTGAAGCCCCTCTCTTTCTGAGTAGTAGTGCAAAATGAGCCCTTTGCCCTTTTCTGCATCAGTGCACCTGAAGGAAGGGGCACGCATCCCTGGGTAAATGGTAGCAAGGTGGTCATGCAGGGCATCCAGGTTCTGTGGTGAAAAGGAAATAACGGTGACTACAAACTGCTATGAGGGAGGACTTAGCAAAGCAAGGAGCAGAAAAAAGGTTCAAATCTGGGTTTACTTGGTGGGTGACTAGAGTAAACCTTTACATAGGAGATGCTTCATGGTGTCCTTGAGACAGCTCCAAGGTAGGTACCACATAGAGAATGAAGAGAGCAGAATGATTGAAAAGAATATATGGATCGTTAATGGTACATTTCAAGAAATGATGAGTAAGTGCCATTCACAAGAAAAGAGCATAGTTAGGGGAGAAAGCAGGCATGTAAGGTTGTTCATGAACATCATGGCAAGCAGTGGAGAATGTTTAAATCACCCACATCCTTTCTGCTGGCTCCATAATCCCCAACTGAATTTAATTTAAAAATATCAAAATGCCAAGGATAGAGGAATATAAGCCTATTAACTTGATTATTGGTATTTTTTATTAAAGATGTGTTTTTTTAAGTAAAGGTGTATAATTCCTTGTCCATCAGTAGTTCCCAACAAAGATGTGAGCCCGTAGTAAATCAGCAAACAAATGACTGTCTCGGCCTTTATAAAGTCTTGGAAAATTAAAGCTTTCTATTTTATTGTAGCTTTTGCCACTTAGAACATGATAAATTTCTCAGCGTTTTCTATTAGTCCCTAAAATTCAAAACTGATTTATACACAGATTGGCACAAGAACTGTGACAGCTACACTTTTAAGTCAGTCCAACCTGATAGCATTTAGTTGAGAGCAGGTCTCATACAGGCTTGTGCAGACAAGGGATATTCACCCAGGCACAGACAGTCATGAAGGATAACACTGGTTCAGTCAGCTGGATAAATCTAGTGTCATTCTGTGTGCCTGTCTACAATGAATTCTGTTTTCTTCCCTCTGATAACACCTGTAAAAATCAAGACAAGCTAGTGTGGAACAAAAATGTGGCTTCTTCCTGATTGCCTCTAGGGGCCACTGTTGCAGTGTAAAAGTTACCAAACAGTGTGCTAGCCTGCAGGGGCAGTTCCCGAAACCTACCTGTCCAGGAACTTTACATTTCTTTCTATTGAGTTGAACAGCACAATGGGTTTGTCTGAAAGACCCTTAAAACCCCTGCAGATCTTTTGGTATAAAAATCTTGGGAGATAAAATCTCTCAAGGAAAAAATGTATTGTCAAGTGTTTTACTTTTATCTCCATTTTCCATGAGATCTCAATTGAGTTTGTGACTGCACTAAGGACATTTTTCTTACATATTACAGTCCAAAGTACTGTTTTGTGCTCCTTAAAATGAAAGAAAACCACATTAGATATGCAGCTTAATAATATTTCATTTTTTAACCAAAGTGATAATATTTCCTAGTCAACATGCCCATGTCACTTACTTACTGTCACCTTCCATCTGGGTTCATAATACCCTTTGTACCTTCCTACATACAGTCAACCCAATCTCTTGGCAGTGACAAAGGTACCATTTCTGCCAGTGGCTACCTTGATGTTAAGGCAGGTCTGACACTAAAATGATCACCCAGGATGGACGAGTTATTAAAGACAGCACCCTTCCTGTCTTTGGTGAAACCATATGAATTTGTACACAGGTATGGTCAGTATTAAAGTTTGAATACTGGTAATACAGCATCACTCAGATGTTTTCTTAAAGGCAAGTGGGTTACTACAAATGCAGAGTGACAGTGTTCATGATTCAAGCCTTTTTTGTGGTAACCAACTCTCCAGTGATTTGTTGTTGTATTGAATTTGCTATTAATTAAATGGACAAGTAGAGTGTTTTGTTGGAGCATGAATGATTCACCACTTAATGTAATATTGATTTTCTTTAGATAGTACCCGGCATAAAATACACTCTTGGGATTTCTTCAGTTACAGCTTTCCTTACTCAGTTTTACTCCATCAAAATTCAAGTGATTGTCACAGACTGTCTCTTCTATGAAATTGGATTATGATTAAATTTAAATTATTTTCACTATGCTTATGTTGCTAAGAAATGTGCAGCATTCATATTTGAACCACAATTGTTACAGTAACCTCAGGAAACCACAAACAAAGACCCTTAGCATGGCCAAGAGAAAAGCTTAACCACATTTGATAGCACTATCTAAACAGACTTGACAATTCAGGAACACAGCTATTTTGAAACATCTGGGCAATAAAACTTCCTTCACATAACTGGAAATATTTTATTTCTAAGTATACCCATGCAGGTAAGTACAGGAAAAGAACAGCTGTATGGCTAGCTACAAGAAGTATGCACATTTTTGTAACAGCCACAAAGTCATGGGAAAATGTAAACACAGATGCTTCCGGGTGAACAACCTCCAGGGAACCACGAAACAACCTCAAGTATGCTTGAACTTCTCATTCTCCTTAGCATCATTTAAAAAGGTGGTGTTTTTGTTCTGATACCTAAAATTCTGTCTGAGATTTTAATTCTACTTCTAATTGTACTGGTCTCACTTTGTGCCCTCTCCCCCATACACACACAAAGGGAATGGATGCACTTTTTCTATGCAGGGAATCTGTAACCTTCAGTCCAGTTACCCCATCTTCTGGTGTTTGTGCTTTATAGAGGAATGAAAAAAGAGTCCTGTTACTCTGGGGCAGTGCTGCAGCTCTGGTGGGGTGTGCTCAATAGATGTAGGAAGCAATTGTTTCTCTGAGAAATACTTTTAAGTTCCATATTTTTTTTAAGATTTTGGACTATTTAAAACTAATGCACATTTTCTTTTTGAAACATGCCAAGCATGTCAAAAATAAGCTCATATATAATGACAGAGACAAAGCACATGCAGAAATCTATGACTTTTCTTTGCTCCTAGTACAGCTAATCAAGAATTTGTAAACTGGCCACAGAAATGTAGAGAGAAAGACTGCCTGGAGCATTTTAAGGAAAACTGATTTTTTTATTTATTTGTTTGTTTGTTTTTGTGTTTTCAGTCTCCATAGTCCTTAAACCGGAAGTTGTGTTGATGATCCACCGAAGGTCAGTGTTAAAAAAAATCTTAAAGATATTCTTAAAAGGCCTCCTCACTTGTCACCCAGGACTTTCTTCCTTTTCACACTTTGACGGGCCAATTACTGTTAATATGAATTGCAGATCCTGAGAAACCCCTTGCTGAGGTTAATGAGAAACAAGCCATTTTGGAAGTTGGAGAAGAAAAATTTAAGCCTGCAACACTAAAATAAATGATGAGCCTACCCCTAAGCTGATGGGAAACATGGAAGTGACTGGAAGTTCAGGAAACTCTCCTTCAAAAAAAAAAAAAAAAAAAGGAAAAGATTTAGTACTTTTAAAAGGAAGGCATGGAGTGGGCTGCAAAGACCACCTCAGTTGGTAAGAGCACTTACTTCATTTGAGCAGGACCCAGCCAGGTTCAGTTCACAGCATCCACACAGCAGCCCACACCTGCCTGTAAGTCCCCTGGATGGGGAGCCAATATCCTCTGGTCTTCCTGTACACTTAGTATCAATATGGTGCACAGACATCCATGCAGAAACTTGCCCTCACACATAAGATTAAAAGAAATAAATTGCAGAAAAGAAAAAAAATGGAAAGTTCTATTTGTAAAGAAAATGTAGCAGAGCCATTACAAGTATTTAAACAGAAATCACTGAAAATTGTATTGTATTTACCAAATCATCTTCTCAAAAGAAATATGTTAGCTAAAGATTAAAATGAAATAAAATACACCTATGTGAATATTTCACATATTCCTGTACTTTCAAACTTATGTTAAAAAACAGAATTCTGCCAAACAATACCAAATTTAACAATTTATACAGGTTTAGTAAAAATATCCAAACAGTTACTCAAAGAAGAATTTTCCAATTTTAACATTTTTATCATCCTTCACTTTTGTTTTGTTTTTCTGCTTTAAATGCATGTTAGCCATATTTTAATTGCAGGTTGTCGACATTAGACTTTAGATGTTTCTTTTGAAATTCAAAAGTTAAAGTCAAGTGACTAGTACATTTTTCTCCAAAATATAAATAATTTAGGGAAGTATTAGGGTTTTACAGCTGTTTAGGAAAATCCTAGTATTTCCCAAAATAGCCCCTTGCACAAACATTTGAGAACTTGAAATTGGATATGCTGTGAGAGCCAGGTTGCTGCTGGTGGGCTGTGTTTTTTATGAGCCCAAATCAAAGCCAAGCAGAGCTGAGGAGAGTGAGTGACTGTAAGTGCCACCAACCCAGCTGGGAGAGCCAAGTCTCCAGCCAAGAATGAAAGAATATTTAAATTTTTAAACGAGGTCCTTCTGGGATATTGAAATAAGCTCCAAAATATAAATCTGAACGAGGATCTCTAAAACAGGATTTTTCCTGTGTGTTTGTCAAGTCAACCTGGCAGCTTTTAATGCTGATTTTGTCAATAAAATTGTTAGGGCTGTAAAGAGCAGACAAGGTAATTATGCAGCATCATTAAGAATGAATGGATAGTCCCTCATTGGCCTCATTTGGGTCCCATTGCCAAAAGCCCCCATCAGCTCATCAAGGACATACTGGAAGTTCTTGACTCATTGTCCAAGCACAAACAAGCATATACAAAAAAAAGTCTACAAGGAAAAAATTGAGAGGCCTGTTACAATTTTCCTTGTGGTGTATATAGCAAGCCACACAACACTTATTGATTAAAATACTAATTTGTTGTTATTCTTGATAGCTTTCTGTGCTGTCTGACTCAGTGTCGAAACTCCTGGACTGGAGTCATCAGAACAATGACAGGATGATTTTCTGCAATAAACCCTAGAAACGGCCAGTAGTATGTGCAGGTCTCTGCAAAGGAATCAGGCAGGCTTTTGTTCTGACCATCTCTACACAGTCTGTGTGGCTTGATCATCTCTTGTTAGGTGTCTGCACCCATAGAGGTAACATCTTACAGTGATTTTTTTCTGTGACACCTAATAGACAACATAAAGACATCTTACGCTATGGCTAAGACAGTTCAAATTGTAACCATTACCATAATCTGTTGGTCAAATGATTACCAAA